CACTCAATTTAGCTAGGTTATAAACGATAATCGGTTGACCGGCGTATGCTTTCTCGTGCTCTCCCGTATTAGTAGTGAGCATTAACGATTCACGCGTGTCCCCTTAGCATAATCACGCGACGTAATTATTAAACGGTTTTAACCCGTTACAGTGTACAAAGTCTATTTCACTGTCAACTTATCAGAAAATGTTTGCTTGAATGTAAACATCAAGACATTCTTCTACAAATATTCAACAAATATATTTCTAAAACTTCAATTGATTTGGTTCCACTTGCAAATTATCTCAACACGGATTATTCACTGCTTATTCAAAAAGATGCTGCAGATTTTTTGTTGGATATGTGCACAAAATTTGAAATAATACGTAAACTTACTGAACATGAACTATCAATTGGAATTAGATCCCCGGGATGTGATTTTAGACCCGACCCTATTACAAAATCAAATTATATTTTAACTTTGTATTTAAACACCGAAATTAAGGGCGCTTATACATTGCAACAAATTATTGATGAGAATATTAATGTATGGCGTGATGTTCGAGAACATTGTGATGATAACTGTAAATATGAAAAACAACATAAATTATCTCTTTGTATTCAGCCCGAAAAAATTTTGATAATCAGACTATCATTATTTTCAAACAAGACAAAATTAACTGGATTTAAGATTAATGAAGTGCCAAAGACTAAACTTTCTATCGGTGATAAATATTTTAGAGTAATAACTGGTATTTTCCATAGTGGGAAAGATGTTGAACATGGACATTATTCAATGTATTACGCGAAGAGACAAACTGGTTTCATGTTTCTGATTCTTCATGTGTTAAAAAGCCATGGCCTAAAGGATCGAAAGACATTTATAAAATATTTTTAGAGCAGATTAAAGGCCCTAAAAAAAGATAATAATCTTTACCATCACATGATTGAAAAATCTCAATCAATAAAAAGTACTTGGATTGTAATCATTGAAAATAAATACAAAAATATACGCCAATTGATCACCTTATGCAATGCGTACGTAAGTACTTGCATTGAAAGAAGTGAAATATAAAAAAAAAAAACTTTTGACAAAGTAAAACGTTGCATGAATGCTTTTATAATTTTTATTTCTCAAAATCTCACAATTGGTTGATAGTGATTTATATAAAAATTATACGGGCAATGTATATGACCCTCCAATAACACATTTTTTCTCTTGGACGATTTCTTAATACTCACGCTCACAAGCAAGCTCAAACAACAAAAGCTTGATTTACATCCGTATTGTAAGGGTTATATGGCATCCCTTACAAAATGATTATCTAATTCGTTTTTAAACATTCGAAAGTAATGAAATCAACATAACAATAGCACGGATGCTCTCGATAAGTGTCACAAATATGTATTTAACCATCAAGAAAGGTTAAAAATTGCAGGCCAGTAGGCATTAAAATCTTATTCATTGACATGCATACATCTTTCAAAGTATTGTAAGACAAAAATTTTTGATTTACTTCGTTGACCACTAGGTGACGTTTACATTGATTTTTTTACTACTATCTAGTAAATTAATTTTTCAATATACTATAAATTCAGTTCCATTGATCTTAAAAGATATAATTCATTAACGAATAATTAATGGTTACTTGTATTTATCCCGTCTATAATTCAATTATACACTTTACAGCTCACTGTGTCTCAATCAAAAGTTTTCAATTGTTTCTGAACTTTTGAAAGTAGCGAAATCTAAATAACAGTAGCACGGATGCTGAAAACTATTATTTATACCTTAAAATTTTCTATTATTTCGATCAATTTTTAGCAACTTTTATTCTTGCTGGGCCTGTCGCCTGTAATTGTAATAAAATGAATATTCACAGCTAGATATTTTATTATGCGTATACATATCATTATGTAATACGTCAATATTTGTCTTGAGTAAAGCTATAATTAATTTGTATTCGTAAGAGTTCAATGAAATGATCAGATGACTTTTATAGTCAATTCATAAATATATAATACTTTTATATTAAGTATTGCATGGTTAAGCGACTTCTAAATTCAGTTTAAAATTGTTTACTATAAAAATTGTATCGAAATATTCTTTTTGAAACAGAGCGACTTATAATTTTTTTTATATTATGTAGACGTGTAAATTTCCTGGTAATTTTACAACGGTAAATGTTTCTCAATTGTACGCACCTAGGAAAAATCTATTTGTCTTATTTCATATTTTACCTGATAATACTACTATTGGCGGACAGGCCCAGCAAGAATAAAAGTTGCTAAAAATTGATCGAAATAATAGAAAATTTTAAGGTATAAATAATAGTTTTCAGCATCCGTGCTACTGTTATTTAGATTTCGCTACTTTCAAAAGTTCAGAAACAATTGAAAACTTTTGATTGAGACACAGTGAGCTGTAAAGTGTATAATTGAATTATAGACGGGATAAATACAAGTAACCATTAATTATTCGTTAATGAATTATATCTTTTAAGATCAATGGAACTGAATTTATAGTATATTGAAAAATTAATTTACTAGATAGTAGTAAAAAAATCAATGTAAACGTCACCTAGTGGTCAACGAAGTAAATCAAAAATTTTTGTCTTACAATACTTTGAAAGATGTATGCATGTCAATGAATAAGATTTTAATGCCTACTGGCCTGCAATTTTTAACCTTTCTTGATGGTTAAATACATATTTGTGACACTTATCGAGAGCATCCGTGCTATTGTTATGTTGATTTCATTACTTTCGAATGTTTAAAAACGAATTAGATAATCATTTTGTAAGGGATGCCATATAACCCTTACAATACGGATGTAAATCAAGCTTTTGTTGTTTGAGCTTGCTTGTGAGCGTGAGTATTAAGAAATCGTCCAAGAGAAAAAATGTGTTATTGGAGGGTCATATACATTGCCCGTATAATTTTTATATAAATCACTATCAACCAATTGTGAGATTTTGAGAAATAAAAATTATAAAAGCATTCATGCAACGTTTTACTTTGTCAAAAGTTTTTTTTTTTAGATATATTTACTCATTCAACGACATCATCACATCATGCAGACTCCTGGAACGCATACTGGTTTTTTCACTGAAGCTTGATGGCATTGATGGTGGTTTCTGAAAAACAACATATCAAACCCGTGTCAATAAGTGTCGCACTCAACATGTGCATCGTCAATTGTGATTTTAATAATTACCTGACTCGAATGTTGTTTAGTCTGGTGTAGTGTAAAGTCTTCGAGCAACGTTTGGATGTTGGTGCTAAGGCGTGGCGAAATGTTTTGTAAAGTTTGAAGATCTTGATTCACATCCTTCAATATCACGTTGCCATGGTGTTGTCTTCTTCTGTCCGCCATAGCAAGTGAGATGTAGTCGTACTGCTGGTAGAAACTGTACTGTGCCGATCCTGAATCCTGCCGTCTTTATATACCTAAGCCACCGACTATATCTTTTAAGGTCGCCGACTATATCCTTTATGGTCGCCGACTATATCCTTTATGGTCGCCGACTATATCCTATATGGTCGCCGACTATATCCTTTATGGTCACCGACTACGAGGTGTGATCAAAAAGTAAGGTGAATTTTTATTTTTCTCAAAAAATATTTATTTATTCATCAATTTTTATTATATCTCCTTCAAAGTAATCCCCCTCGGATATAATGCACTTGTGCCAACGCTTTATCCAATCCTCAAAGCATTTCAAAAAATCATTTATTGTGATCTTGTTTAGTTCATCCTTCGATGCCGTCTTTATCTCCTCAATCGTGGCAAAACGCCGTCCTTTCATGGGCCTCTTCAGTTTTGGGAACAAGAAGAAGTCACAGGGGGCCAGATCTGGGGAATACGGTGCCTGTGGCATCGTTACTGTGTTGGTTTTAGCCAAAAATTCGTGCACAAGCAACGATGTGTGAGCAGGGGCGTTATCATGGTGCAAAAGCCAATTTTTATTTTTCCACAAATTCGGACGTTTCTGGCGGATTGCTTCGCGCAAATTGCGCATAACTTTCAGGTAATATTCCTTATTTACTGTTCTACCCTGTGGCAAGAACTCATGATGCACCACGCCCCTGCAGTCAAAGAAAACTGTAAGCAAAACCTTTACATTTGATCGAACTTGGCGTGCTTTTTTTGGTCTTGGTGATCCAGAATGTCTCCACTGGGACGATTGAGTCTTAGTCTCGACGTCATAACCGTATACCCATGTTTCGTCACCTGTTATAACCCTGTTGAGTAAATCTGGATCATCGTTGACGTCATTCAGTAACTCTTGGGCGATGCTCATGCGACGTTTCTTTTGGTCGAAATTGAGCAATTTCGGAACAAACTTCGCTGACACACGTCTCATGTCTAAAACACTCGTCAAAATTGATTGGCACCAACCAAATGAGATGCCAATATCATCAGCAATTTCTCTAATGGTAATTCGACGATTTCCCAACACTATTTTCTTCACTTCTTCAACATTCTTATTAGTTGTTGATGTGCTGGGACGTCCAGAACGAGGTTCGTCGTCGGTGTCTTCTCGGCCTTCTTGGAAGAGTTTATACCACTTGTAAACATTTTTTTGGCTTAAAGTAGACTCACCGTATGCCACTTTCAGCGTTTCAAGTGTTTTGGAACATTTGATTCCATTTTTCACACAAAATTTAATGCAAACTCTTTGATCCATGTTTTTAGACAGCAGCAAATCGTGGAGCACGCAAAACACTTCTAACCTTGATGCCTCTCACAAACAAACCAAACATACTACAAAGCTGAAATTTGGAACTTATGTTCTAGACGAGTGTACCGACATAACCAAATAAAAAAGTCGAAGATCGAACGGACGTAGCCCGCTAAATTTCAAAATTGACCTTACTTTTTGATCACACCTCGTATATCCTTTGTGGTCGCCGACTATATCTTTTATAGTCGGTGGCTTAGGTATATAAAGACGACAGGATTCAGGATCGGCACAGTACAGTTCCTACGAGCAGTACGACTACATCTCACTTGCTATGGCGGACAGAAGGAGACAACACCATCGCAACTTGATATTCAATGATGTGAATCAAGATCTTCAAACTTTACAAAACATTTGGCCTCGTCTTAGCACCAACATCCAAACGTTGCTCGAGGACTTTACACTACACCAGACTGAACAACATTCGAGTCAGGTAATTATTAAAATCACAATTGACGATGCACATGTTGAGTGCGACACTTATTGACACTGGTGTGATCTTATTTTGTTTTTCAGAAACAACCATCAATGCCATCAACATCCTTCTCTCACGGTGGTAATCGACCTCATCAGTCGACATTACCGTTGGCGTTGGCTGACACATACTTAATCGACACCAGAGACGACGATGATGACGACGATTACGTAGCGCAACGAGAGCCAAAACGTCCACGCCTTATGGTAATTGAACTTTCTCTAGTTTTCTTCGCAACATTTGCATGGTATATATTTATATTTTTTTTCATCTACTTTGTAATTTCAGTCTCCCCATGCCAACAACCAATATAGTCGTCCAATCATTCCTCTTCAGCAACCTCGACAACAACAAAAACGAAGCAGTGCACTTCCGTCGTCTGTTCCGTCTATTCAACAGGGAGGTGGGAATATAGAAATGGTTTCCTACGAACCTGACATTGGTAAAGCACTTACGAGCACTCCTCCTGTAAACTATCATCCGCGCGACCGGCTGGAGATGAAATCTCTAACTACGCAACGACAATTGCCGATCTCATCGTCGTCAACCTACAATATTCATCAATACAGCATGATGCAAATTGAACATGTCCCAACCAAGAATGTAAATATATTTTTTTTATTGTAATTGAGATTTTACATATTCTGAGTATCAACATTTTGTGTTCGCTTTGCAGAGAAATCGCTCTTCTTCAGTAGCTGTCGATAGAGATGATTTAATGGGACAATCTATTCATCACCCAAACGTGAATGAACTAGATGAATATGTAGATAATTATGATGACGGCCGTAAACCAAATAAACATGAGTACAGCGGCAACAATGACAACAAGATGGTACAGCAACTCAATGACAAAGATAGCTACCACAACAGTCTTGACGAGCAGCAAGACCAGCCTGGAAACAACAGCTTCAAAGCAATAGTGAGTTGTAACATCTATTAATATTCATTCTATTGTGTGGGATGAAGTTGAGTAGTTAATAATTTATCCTTCTTGTAAAATGGATCAATCACATTTTTTATTCGCACATCCTCATCCCTCACAAATGTACGAAGAGAGTTAAACAAGCTGAATCTACTTGAGTATCTAAATTTTTTCTAGGTACGTAGTAAATTTACAATCGCCGAGATTCATGAGTTTATTTGAAAATCTTTCCTATGTTTTAACGAAAGGCAAATATTTCTCTCGGAAGATTTTAAATTGCCGAACAAATCTTATATGTCTTGCCGCAAACGCGCCCGTAGAAGTATCCAAAAAATGAACTCTCACGACTTGTCCAATCTTTTGAATTATAGCTTATCACATGCTCAAAACTTTCTGGATTATGTACAAACTTTGAAATTTCGTTGAAAATAAAAAAAGTAATTTAAGCATTGACTTACGTCAAAGATTCAATAAACTCTCCGCATTAGAATTTATTCACCACTTTTTTTTCCGACAGGAAACCAATGCCTGTCCCACAGATTTGGAAAATTTGCAATTTTCCGAATTGAAAGAAATCATTAACAATACACGTATAAGACGGTGTACTGCAGATCTGGATTCTATTGTAGTTATCGGTCACGATCTCAGCCTGTTCAATATTACGAGATCATTTTCTCTTAATACTGGACAAACATCTCCACGGGTTTCTAATCAGAATAAATCGTTAATAATTCTCGATCCTAAAAAAGAAAAAATTTGGCTCGAGTTCAAATTAGGTGGAAGATGTACTGAATCTATAAATATATTGATATCTGTTGACAAAAAATTTATAGCAAAAAAAAAGACGGTAATGGTGAAGGTGATACTAGTGATGATGATGATGATGATGATGATGATGATGATGATGATGATGATGATGATGTTATGTCGCGACTACGTAGCCGTGACGTGTATTTTTAAAATATGTATGATCATTCATTTATTAGTAAATATTATAGTGTCAGGAACTTACCTGGGTTATTATTTCGAGTTAAGTTGGCTGCTTAGCTTTATCTTGATAAAGTATATATGAGGTCGGTCGGTAATGATGCGCGAACACTCGATTCAAGTAATTATTTATTTATTCAATGACAGAAATGGTTTCTCAAAAATAACAGTAGGTGAATTATACGTTGTTCGGCTGTCGCGCGTCGCGAATCAGCCCGTAAGAACTTTAACAAATTTTAATGTTATTGAGTAGTCGCGCGTCGCGAGTCAACTGCCGAATAGTTGAGTCTTCTGTTTTTATATTGACTCTTCGGCCCATATTAATGTGTTAAGTAATCAAAAAATCAAAATGTCGGGCGCCCCAGATTTTCGGACTACTCATCTTTTAATTTCGCTGAGTTTGTATTTTGTAAAAATGCCGTTCGTTGTTTATACATTATTTCGTTTTTCAATTGATTGCTGATGAAATCAAAATGAAGAAATTGTTACGTCTCGGGACGTAACACCTCCGTGGCTAGATCGTTGTATATCGGTGTGATATCAACGCAAAATAAACAGAGAGAAATGAGAGAGAGAAATAAATAAATAAATAAATAAGTAAATAAATGTGCGTTACTCTTAGTTATTCGGCAATCGATTGATACACTTTAATTTTACCTTAATAGTACTTTTATTGTTACGCGGACAATAATACTCCGTATCACGGTATAGTAGAGCTTCATTTCAGGATTCGATATGTATATATATATAATGGATTTGTGTTTTTAACTAATGTGATTCTAATGTGAAAATTGGGATATGTTGCTTCTTTCTGGTGGAAATTTCTTTAGGAGTAGGGACGGGGGTTGTGGTGTTTAAGGTCTGATTCGTGAATGGAGTTATTGCTTGTGGGTTCTCATTTTTTTGTTTGTCTATTACTATTTCATCCAATGCATATTCTTCCTCTTTTGACGGAGTTTGGTTTCTCTGTTTGAGCAGCGGTTTGTTCAGTGCCACCAGTAATTGTGTTATTGAACTAAATATGGCTCCTAGCAAGTATGCAGAAATTCCATATATAGAGTGTAGAGTATAGCCTCTGATTATTACATTGATTAGACTTTTACCGCATTGAAATATAATGGCGGTCATTATGATGGCAGAACTTATAGAACCAAATTTAGTTAGTTTGATGATGAACTTATTCCATGTGCTTCCAGCGATGTTGGTTAATGTTTGTTCTGTCAGTATTAGATTTGATACTAATCCTCCCTCTACACTTTCGTCGCCTCGCATACTTCTCGCGATTACGTTGAGGAGTGATGCTTTCTCCATGGGAAAGAGGATGTGATTTTGTAGTTTTTGTAGGTCTTCTTGGGAGTAGATCCCACTGGTTGCCAATGATTCTAGTTCCGTCGGTTTCCATGTTATTTTGGTGGTCGGTTTCAAGGTTAGAACTGCGTTGGTTGTTCTTCTCGGAGTTGGTGTCAAATTTATCCATTCGTTTCCTATTTTGTAGTATTAGGGAATGATTGTGTTGCAGTTTATTTCTGTTCCTGTTTTCATTAAGATGTGTGTTTTTGGTGTGAGGTAAAATGTTTCGTTTCTTGAAATGACTGGAAGTTGCGAGAAACATTTGTCTGTATGAAGTAGTTGAACTTCTGTAGGCGTACATTGTATAATATGTACGGCTTCCCCTGCCAGGCGAGCTATGTACCCGGGCTTCTCCATGATGTTGTACGCAAATTCATCTGGTGAGAGGGATGCCAGGGATAAGGAGTTATATAGGACTTTCCTTTCCAATTCACATTTTTGTTGCAATATATCTATATAGAGGCTTTTTATTTCGACCCTGAAATGCTTTTCTACATACACAAATTTGCTATTAAAGTACGTGAATAGATCATAGCTAAGTATCCCTTGCTTCGTTTGAATATCATTGTCGTACAAAATATTGAATTGGGTTCGTTCATATATAAAAAGTTTTGGATGTTCAGTTGTTATTAAGATTCTGTTGCAAAAACTCATGTTCCCTCTAGTTGACAATGCAAAGGATACTTCGTTCGTACTTATGCTAAAAATGGTTTCATGATCGGGTGAGCTTATTTTAGTGACCGTTCCCCTACACAGTATATCGTATTGATTTTTGAAACAGTCTTCGTGCGGTAGTAATGACCAAAAGGTGTAACCTCCTTCCATATCGATACAATGTTGGTCCGAAAACTTACATACTGTACCCGAATTTAATCTTAATCTATCATTATTTAATTCGACTGCTGCATAGCTTTCTAACAAGGTTATTTTTATAAGTCCTTGTACGAGAACATCGCTCCACGTACCAAATCGGTCGGCGTAGGCTGCCCCTGAACAAGTTTTACCCTTAACGTTTCCTGCTAGATCTAAACCTACACTTTTTGTCGAGTTAATCCTTAGGTCGGCTATTGTGTGTTCGTTATCATATTTAAAAATACCCGTATCATGTATAGCTTTACAGTTGTCGTGTGATATTTCGTAAATGTATTCTTGGATTGCATTTTCGGTTGGGCCTAAATGACTAAACATACCGCAATGAAAAATTGTTCGCCTTATTTCTATTTTACATTGTATAATTTTCATTGATTTGAATTCCGTTTTTTGTAATAGTTCGATAGTGGCTTGTGTGTTATTTAGTTGAATTTCTTGAAAATTGCATTCCCCTGCATCCAAGAGTGAGTATGTTGTAATGGTAAGGTTCGTTGAGCCGCAATTGAAACCATAAATAAGTCCTTTGCTTGTTGAAAAGAAGGTGATTATGATAGTCATTGATTGTTGCGCCATTGTGTTTCCTGGAAATAGAATAAGATTACTATGCTTGTTTTGCTATGCTTAATTTATTGGCATGAATTGTTTTTGGTTTTCCATTGTAATCGATTACAACACTGCCTTTTTCAGTTATTTTTAATACTTCAAAAGGTCCTAAATATTTATTTTTCTCCGGTTAATTTTTTTTATATTATATATATTTATATTTTATAATTTAATTTCCCCGGTTTTGGTTCTTTCATGAACCATACTTTATCTCCAATTTTAAAATTTACTGGATTTGTAAATCGGTCATAATAATTTTTTGATTTTTGTTTTGAGATTATTAGATTTTCTCTAGCCATGTGTGATATTATATTCATGTTTTTTATTAAATTTTCTAGGTATCCATTAAAAGTTGGTAATTGTTCGGATTTTTTTTATGGTACGCTAGATGGTAATTTAGCTGGAAAAGCAAAAACTAATTCATGTGGTGTGAAATTGTGACTAGTGTGTATGCTGGTGTTGTAATTGAATTGGGCCAACTCTAGGAGTTCGTCCTAATCACATTTTTTTTATGTAAATTGTTTGATGTATTCGCAAAGCGGATGGTTAGCCCTTTCGACAGATCCATTAGATTGGGCTGAAAATGACGTTGTTTCAATTTTTTCGAAATGAAATCTTTTGGCAATTTGCTTTAACATTTTGCTTCTGAAGTTTTGTGCTCTGTCCGTTAGTACTATTTTTGGAGTTCCGAAAGTACAAATAAACCTTTTTATAAAAGCTTCGCTTACAGCTTCCGCTGTTTGGTCTTTTAATGCTACTAATGTGATAAATTTTGAAAGTTGGTCTTGAATTGAAAGTATGTACCGATTATTACTTTTTGTAATATCGAATGGCCCCATTATATCCATGGCAACTTTATCAAAAGTTTTGAAAGGTGTATCTGTTATAATCATTGGTTGTCGTGTAGGTTTACGTTTTAATTTGTTTCTTTGACATTCTATACACATGGAAATTCTTTTTTGTATGTCGTTCTTTAGGTTTTCCCAACAGTATTTTTCTTTAATTCTATTGTAAGTTCGATTCACTCCCGAATGACCTCCTAATCTCGAAGAATAATATATTTCAAAAATTTTATTTCTCTGGTCTGACTCACATATATATTCAACATGATTCATACAAACAATAGTCTTGATGTTAGTTCCTATAAAAGTATCATTTATGATTTCTCCTATTTCTGACCATTGTATGTTTCTTATGTCAATATTTTTTGAAATACTCAGCATAGAGATTTTATTTTGTAATAGAAGTCTTTTCAAATTTTTGAACAATTCGGCTAAATCTTGTTTTACTGTTTCCGTTGCTGCGGCAGTGTTCAGGCACAAAATAAATATTTTTCGTTTACCGTAGTTTAAAGTTTCTAAATTATTACTGGATAAATTTTTGTTTATTTTTAAATTTTTCTCTGCAAGTATGTTACTCGTATTTTTGTCTAGCCCTTCATGTTTTTCAGAGATTAAATGGATAATGTTATCACTACGAAGTTGTATGGAACTTTTGCTATAAATGACATGACCTCTATTATAATCATTATTAATGCTACTATTTTTTATACATTTTTTATCTATATTGTTGGATTTGTATGTATGTTTCTGTTTGCTCTTTTTTTGAATGCATGCGTGATTTGTAATTTGTTCCTTTTTGTTAACATTTAATGATTTTGTCTGTACTACCTCCTCTAAGTTCTCGGTTCTTTTTCTTTGTGCTCGTGTCATAACACAAATTTTTGGTTCTACCGCAATCCGCGATAAACAGTCAGCTGGACCGTTTTCTTTGCCCGGACGATAAATTATGTCAAACTCGTAATCAACTAGTTTTAATCGCCATTTTTGTACCCTACTATTATTATCAGCCGACTTTAATGAAAGTAAAGGTTTGTGGTCTGTTACTACCGTAAATTTATTTCCGAATAAGTATGTTCTAAATGTTTTAATAGCGAAAATTATTGCAACAGCCTCTCTTTCATAAGTCATATAATTTTGTTCTGTTTTGTTCAAAACCCTTGAAGCGTATGCGATGGGTCTATCGTACCCTAATTCT